GTCGAGAGCGGGCCACCCGCGATTTAAAGCGTTTCAGTCGAACATTACGTCGATCCTGTAATTAATCCTTCAGGAATGACGTCGGTAAATGGTGTGCTAACTCTAATATCGATTTTCAGAGCCTTTATCTTTTTAAGTATCGTTTAAAACATTGACGGTAGTCGAACATGACAGGGTCTTTTGGATTGTTTAGAAACATTTACAATAAGACAATCGATGTTGAATGAAACTATTTAGTAACATAAGTAACCAGATAATAATGTAAAGTAAGAATTATGTTTAATAATCAATAATTATCGTTAATAGAATTTATCTTCGTTAAATTTTTTTAATTCTCATGGCAGTCAACGTGCGAGTTAGAATTTTTCCTACTTTTTAGAATGTAAAATGGCTATGGAAGGAAGTATTAAAAAGAAAATTGTACAAGTGTTAAAAATAAATATTAAAAAACCTAAATTATCAAGAAGAATTTGAAAGAATTAGAAATTGGAAACAGATCGTTCTTAAAGGGTTAATCACGATGACATGCAAATGGCTGCCGTCTTCACGGTTGAACTCAAGGTTTACTCGAAGATTTACAGAGTCCCAAACGGCGATCAAGCGTTGACCGATCAGCGTTGGCCCGGTCGTGAACTAATCTACTTCTACTGCCGAGCTGGAAGATTCATGGAAAGCAAGCGAATTTATTTACAACGGCGTTTTGAGGCCGCGGCGAGTTCGCTGGTTGTTTACGCGCGGTCGACGAAATATTTACACGATGCTCGGGATGATATCGCCGGAAGAATGTAAATTAATTGAAAAGTTTTTTGCGCTTAATTAGAAGCAGTTTCTGTCATGATTTTCCAGATGTCTTTCAGTCTGAAATACAGGGCACTCTAATTATCATTTAAATTATTATTCACCGCTCTCTAGCGTTCATAGTATAAGTTACTTATAACCCAACTGAAAAAGTCCAAATAATCCGCAATGTTTCGAAATTGGTACAGTCTAGAATTCTTGTACGATGTATTCCATGTTCCAAAGAAACGTAATTACGAATGAAATAATAATACGTATGATAATCGAATAATAATTCTCAAAGATAGAGAATATTCCCAAAATTTCGATAATGTCGGCTGTACTCGGTTGCGTATCAAATTATAAATATCAAATATTTATGTTCGAACGAATGGAACGTTAGCCCTTGTTAAATGGCCATTCTCAACAGGAATTTGGTGTGCTGTAACTCAGGGAACAAAAGAATGGCGCTACGTGCAGCTAAACGTTTAAAGAAATTGCAAGAAGCGTATGATTAATTAAGCGACCTTCCCCACAAGGCAACAATATTCCCGTTCCCCGTGCGAAACGCAGCGTGCTACAACTCGAGCAATCCACCTGCAATTTTCATAAAACGTTACCACAAACGGACGGCCTGGTTTTCACCTATTTCTCAACGACGCTGGAAAAAGAATCCATTAATGTTGCACCCTACTTAAGAATCTCCGCGGCTGTCTACTTAAAAATGTTTCTTCGTGCCGCGAGCCGTTGGACAAATCGTTGCGAGCCATCACCGAAACGCGCCTCACGCGAAGGAAAATGGCTGTCGCGCGGCTGCAGCACCTCGAAAATTGCTAAGAAACGTGGTGTACGCTACTACCACGAACGTATCGTGTGTTCTGTTCGAAGCTGACTCGAACGTTACTAACCCCTTGCCCTACGATTTATTTCCGAATTATACTTTGTCGCTAATAATTTACTGTAAAAAGAGAAAGATCTTTAATGGTGTCCTATAAAGTTTGATTATTGATAACAAAAGAATAATACGTAATTCGGATTCACAAGAATTGAGTAATATTTGTGTTTGCCAAATTCTGTTTAAAATCTTTGCCACGAGCCCGACACATTGTAACAAGCCAAGGAGTTAATAACATTTTCTGAGCTTTGTGTGCGATAACGTGTGTTGCAATGAACGTGATCATTCAGTAAACATGTCCACTTACTGGTTAATGTATGCGCATATTAATTTAAATCTTTATTAACGAAATATTCATTATCGGTTGATGTTAATTTGAATAAATAAATTGTGACACGGTAATTCATCTTCCTGTGAGAAGTAGAGCGCTATTATTTATTTTCATGACTTTGTTTTTCTAAGGGAATATGAGTATTATATTAAAAAAGACGTTAATTTCGAATTTTTATATATATATATATATATATATTTATTCGATTCGATTTGATTGAATATTTGTACATTTATATAGTAAAATATTATTGATTTCTCATTTTTCAAATATAGATACACAAAACGAAATCAACTTCTGATATGCTTCGACTAACACACTGCCAAAGATTAAGACAGTATTCATGACCAAAAACACTGGATACGCGTTCATTTAGTCACTTTCCCGAAAATTCCTCGTAAATACAAATTAACCAGTAAGAACACGAACGCGCTTTCCACACTTTCACCGAAGCACACAGCCGAAGATCGCCTCCCGTCGCAAACTAGTCTCGCAGAAAACTGCGGCAAACGAGCCGATCCAGGTTACGCGAGGAATCAATGAAACATGATTTTCCGCGGGTAACATTCCCGAGCCGCGATGCGCCGGCATCGAAAGTGACTCGGATTCGCGAGTACATACTGAGCCCGGTCCCGCCGCGCCGGCAGCCAGCAATTTTCGAAGCGTTCGATCGCCCGGAATGCCCGACCGACAAGAATCTCCGTGCCGTATATTCCTTAAACGTTATCGGAAGTCATTGCATTCGGCGGAGGGAAGAATTTTCGAAAACACGAGACCGGAACGCGACTAACGGCGACCGAAAACAGAACGGAACCGGGAACGATTTATCGTCCTCATTCGAATGGAAGCGCCCCGGGAAGACGTGGAAAAGAAAAAGACGAGAAACGGAAGGAAACGATTCGTTCGCTAGCTTGGAATTCAAATAACGGAAAAAAAGAAGAACAGAAGGGAAGAAAAGAGAACAGAGGATTTCACTGAAAAAAAGGCGGGGAAAGATGAAACGCTTTAAATCATTCCCGTTCGTCGAATCCTCGGAACGGCTCGAGATCCATCGATACTAAATTCGCCAAAATAGGTCCCAGATCTGGCACGAGACGACCCTGAATTATTTGTTAGGCATTTAAGCTATATACAGACGGGTGTGTGTTATCCTTAAAGGAGATCGATATGTCTCGTTGGTGGCGTTGGTACAGGAATCCCCCGGCTAAGGGGATGCTTTCGGATAGGTCCGGGAGAAAGGGGTTTTAAGGGTGAAAGGGTAGGACCGAGGGAAGGGGGTGATAGGTGGCAGGGGGAGACCGTGTTCCAATGACTAATTCTTTCTCGACTTATTCCTTCGCGGACAAGGATCCATTAGTCAACGCCATGACTGGGCCAGAACTTCCCCTCGAGTTCGTGTCAGAGTTGAGTTCCAAGGACGAGTCCTGCAATGTAGAAAACATGTACGTATATCTTGCCGGACGGGGCTAAAACGACGGGCACGTGCATATCCTATGAAAATTATTTAAAACTTTCCTGGCCGGGTAGGTGGCTTGTGGGAAGGTACAGGGTGGAGGAGATACACGGCCGTCAGGTGCGATTTAGAAAATGGAGTTCAAGGAGAGGGAGAGCGTGTGCTCTGAAATCAAAGTAATTTCAAGTAGTACGTATAGCGATGTGGGTGTGGTAAATCTGTTGCGAATTATGTCGGAATGCTGGGTTTTTGAGAAATTTGTGTGTATGGGGATGCTTCGTTTTATGGGGACTGGGGGAATGGTTTGTATTTTTGAGTTTGTGATTGCATGTGTCATTGAGGGAGATCGTTCTTTGAGAAAGTAATTTGGTAGTAAAAAAGATTGAGGTGGTTTTTCAAGACTGTCAGTTGCTCGCTTAGAATACGTAAAGAAATAATTTCTTATTATTTTTAAGAGACTACTAATATTGAAAATATGAACTATAAGAAATTATTTCTTTACGTATTATATAGAATATTATTTCTAAGAGACTACTAATATTGAAAATATGAACTATAAGAAATTATTTCTTTACGTATTATATAGAATATTATTTCTAAGAGACTACTAATATTGAAAATATGAGCTATATTCTCAAAAAAGAAAATTAGAGATAATTGTACATCCACTTATATAATCACACTTCATCAGTTTCATACTCTACAAATTAATGTTCACATAACTAAATCTCATTACTCAATCTCGTGCAGCAACTAATCGTACATCCAAAAATAAATATCGACCGCCTAAAATAATATTAAAAGCTTCCGGAATACAACGTTCGCAATTTTTATATGAATGCGAAGAGCCGGTACATCTAACGATAAAATGCTTTAAAGTCCTATTCACGGTATCGCGACAGCGCTCGGAGTATTACAATAATTCTTCCATTTGCCTGAACAGTCGAGCGTTTAATGGATCGAGAACTACACGTTCGCCGTAAGAATCGCGGGATCGGAATGAATTTTTTCAAGCGTGCATTACGACGTCCGACTAGAGTGCATCGCGGAGGACAGCCACGCTCGCGAGAGCTATAACGCGTTTACGCGCGGTGATTACGCGGGATACGGGAGTTTCGCGGAACCATTTGGCAACGATCGTCTATGCGGATACGAAATCGAAGCGGCGCCGAAGCGGGGAGGGACCCATTCGGGCCCTGGTGTGATTTATCGCGTGAAGGAAGCTTTCGGCGCACGTTACACCGCGCGCGAAAACCGGCACGTCTCGATGGCTTTACGACTGTCCTGTGACGGAAGTGATCACCAGATGATCGGTTTTAATGACCGTCCCACGCCGCGGTTCATTATGAAGGCTGCTATTAAGCGTAGCGTGCGTGACGCTCGAGGTGTTATGCGAACGTTGTATGCGATTATTTGTTGGGTTTTGGTATCGTTGAATATTCGACTAGTTTTGTGATATTAAGAACTTGTTTGTTTTGGTATTGTCGAATGGAGGATATGTTGTGTGTGATTATTTGTTAATTTTGGTGCTGTTAAATAGAGGATAAATTGTGTGATGTTATTTGTTGATTTTGGCATTGTTAAGTAAAAGATGAGTTGTGTGAAATGAAGGATTTGTTAATTTTGGTATTGTCGAATGGAGGATATGTTGTGTGAAATTATTTGTTAATTTTCTGTTAAATAGAGGATAAATTGTGTGAAGTTATTTGTTGATTTTGTTAAGTAAAAGATGAGTTGTGTGAAATGAAGGATTTGTTAATTTTGGTATTGTCGAATACAGGATAAATTATGCGAAATTAAAAATTCATTAATTCTATTATTGTTAAACGTAGGATAAGTTGTACGAATCTATTTGTGAATTTTGATATTGCATTGATAATATTAAAAAGAAAATGTTACTACATATTCTTATCTTTTAGATGTTAATATATCCAGTTATAAGTATTAAAAAGCACACTTGTTGCTTCGCATTCCTCTATTCATCGATTGCTAAGCATTTTTAAGTGATTGGAAATTTTCCACAGGGAGTGTAAGAATAAAATTCTTTGTTCGTCTATAGCGGCAGAATTTAAATAAATACCAATCGTTCAAAAAATCTAAACGCCACCGTCGATAATATACTACACGCTCGCGGACAATGTAACAAATATACACGTTGATTTTCGATTGAATTCAGCGGCACTGAAGCGACTAGCCGTATAAAATTAATAAAATACGTTTCAATGGAGTAAAGGCGACCTGAATTGAATTTATTTGTGCGTACACCCGGCCAATACATTTAAACAAACGTTGCCAATGGACACACAGCGAAATCGAATTTACGTTTCTCTAAAATTCTATTAACCCGAATTCTCCTTCTCCCTCGGAACATTTTGTAAAATATTTTCCTCTCGAAACGGCTTTTTTTTTGTAAGTGTAATTGTAAGTATTACAATTCTAGTTGTTTACAATGAAATCGGAGTTCGTGTAAATATTGAAATTCTAAATGTAAACACCGGTCCATGAAAAAAGAATGAAAATAAAATACTCGAAGGTGTTCGGCTAATATTTAAATTCGACTGTTGTGTAACGTTTGAAATTTTCAAATAGATTGTACTTCGTATTAATTTATGATGTTTAAAGGGCAGAAAATAGTTTTTATTTAAGTTTCAGAAAGTGATTCATGAATGAGAAACGCGTTTAACACGTGCGCTGTCGCCGACATATTTTTACGTCATACTGATTTTACAAAGTCGGTAGTGGTTCCTTTCATATATTTGATAGATTGACAGTTTTTAAAAATCTGAAAATAAAGTCCAAACACGAAATAAAAGGGAGAAGAAACTCTGTGAGAAAAATATACTGAAATTCTAGTTAGTAAAATGTACAAGCTAAATGAGAACCCTCTAGTGAACGATTTCTGGAAATATTAGAAGAAACTGCTGCAAAACATGAGTAATAAAATTACTCAATAATGAACAGAAATTCTTTCTTATTAATTTATACTTGATGAATTTATTTCTCTTATTAGAGGACATATTAGGGTATGTTAGAATGAAGGAAAAGTAATGTTGACTTATTTTTAGCAGATGTATAAATAAATCAATTCGTTATAGTATTACTGCTTGCAATTCATTTAAATAATTAAACAATTCTCTATGACTCTGCTTTACCATTTTATAAATTTTAAATACGACTTTTCACAGAAGAATGAAACTATTTCTTTTACAATTAGAGCAGGTTAAAACCCTGTATTACTTTTTCACCAAGCTAACAAGTAACAGGAGCCAGGAACAATTGGCTCAGGATAATAGTGGTCTAATTATCATTTCTGAATTCTCGAAAAAGAAAACCTTTTGTGAAATGTTCTTAGATTAATTAAATACTTATATTGTAATACTATTAATAACATCAATTATTAATGATTGATATTGGTAATGATTATTATCTATTCATATCAGTAATTATTAACTATTAATATTAGTAACTGTAATATTAGTATTATTAAATTAGTAAACACAAAACCTTTCTTTTTTCCTGAGATCCCAGAAACAGGGGTGAGACCATTAATTATTCCGAGTCACTAATTAATACTAAACGTTAAAGGTACTCACAATGCTGAGGGCGTGCATAATGCAAGCTTGCGTGGTGTTTTCGACATGGATCAGTTCGTCGCATTCTTCGTGATCCAATCCGTTCACGTCAGATCGAATTTTAATCGGTGACAGAGCTGCCTCGTTGTCCGTTGATTTGCCACTGTCAGGGGACGGTATTAACTCAGGCACATCCAGATCCTCCTCTTCAGCTCGTTCTTCACAGTCGGATGCTTTGGTCTCCTGTTCGAGACAATATGTTAACTAGATGTTAATTAAAGTTACTTTGATTGCTCCTCTTTGCACGAGGGAATTTTTCTCTATTTTTACATTTATTTTAAATATATAATGAAAATTGTAACTTCTTTAACGTAATGTTGTCATTAAACGAAACAGTTAATTGTGTTTGATATACAATAAAGTTGGTCAAACAGAATATTAATCAACGCCAAATGTTTAGGTTGGGCAAAGAATTACCTTGTGTATTGAATATAAAAACTTTGGTTTAATTATTGATAATTTACGGTTAATTAGAAAAAACAGTTTCAAATGATAAAATCATGTTGAAGTATAACTTCAAACTCCTATCGATCACTGCTGCGTTTGTACGATATACATTTTAATAAAAAACGAACGAATTACTTCAAAATCCACAGAGATTCATGCCCAAACTATTAATGCACTTTTATAAATTATATAAGCGCGGTACAGAGAGGGAAAGGGCAATATAGATTGAATAAATTCCTGACGTGTATGTAGTACGTACACAAAAAGGAGTACATGGATAATGGCTGCAAAAGGAGCCTTTTGAACCAGCACTTTAATATATATTTAATACCTAGTTTGTGCACCGCGAGCAAGAAGCTCCACCTTCATTAATTCACGTTTCCTTTTTGCCGCGATTTTTATATGGGGCCGTGTATGTTTACTTACGTAATCAATCAAGATATAAAAAGGAAATCGCAAAGCTTAATTGATTTAATGGCCCGCCCGCTCTCGAGAAGAATAAAATTAGTATCGGGAAAAAAGCAGTATTCAACATATTTCTTGTTCGTTATAATTAAGCCACGAAAGTTCACGGAAATCTGCATATTTATGAATAAATTTCGCGGAACCGGTATTAAAACAAATTCAACTTTTCCCGGTGAAAAATTTCAATAAATCGAAAAAGGGGAACAAAGTTCTATAATATTAAATTCGATCCGAGTTCTTTTTTAACGAGTCTTTCCAAATTAATTTACCCATTAAAATTTTAATTAAACATATAAATCAATGGTTACTTGAAATTTTTATTCATAACGCCCGCTAATTGGATTATCGAGGGAAAATTATTATTTCATAAATTCTCAAGAAATTCTCGAATTTTACACGCTCCCGATGATAATGTTTTAATTAGTACAATCTTGAACGTTTAATATCGCCGAGAGTGAAAATAATAAAGGGGCCCTCGAGCCCGTGAAATCCGAAACAATGGCCGCCATTTTTCGATAGCTCGATCCGTATACCTTGTCCCTGCCCTGGAGTTGACATATCGACAGAGAAACATATGATGAAGTAATATTTTCCCAAGTTGAACGTCGTCCTGCACGACGACAGGATTTCATTCTTTCGTTGCGGAGTTTCGCTCCGGTCGTTCGGAGACTGTGTCTTAAACACCGAGCCGCATGACGATATTACTGCTTCCACTTGCCGCGACGCGACAGGGGAAACGGCAATTGTTTAAATTGACCGGCGTCGTTGTCATTATCGTTCCTCGTACTATGTTCTACGATTCCATAATAATTTTCCAATTTAAAAACGTTAACTGCTATTTTAGCTTCTGGTATATTTGAATTATATTTTAGGATTTCGTAATGCAATTTTTACTTTGTATAAATTATGTTGCCATTATCGTTTCTCGTACTGTGATGCACAACTCTATAATAATTTTCCAATTCTTTTTATTCTGCGTTGAAAACATTAAAACTGTAGTTTCTGGTATATTTAAATTATATTTTCGAATTTCTTATACAATATTTCGTATAAACTTCTTTGTATGAGGAAATTTGGAAGGAACTATGTGTATTATACAGAGGTAATTACTGTTACAAAAATAATCTTGAGACATCATATTTTTCGAAATATTGAAACTTGTGATTTTTTAAAATGAAATTACTTCGTTAATGTATTTTACATTTACTTATGTTTCCCTCACAAGGAAAAACTTGCACAAAATGTTAATCGTTTTAGGGGACGAAAAAGCACATTTTACTCAGTTGACGCGAAGCGTTCCAGACAATTCTTGGAATGCGACAATTAATGGAAAACAACGAAATCGATTGAAAGGAATGAAGCAACCGACCACGGCCGAAATCAATTTCGCCCGCGAACCACGATTTGTTTCTACCGAATTTGATTACGTTCGCTTTACGTTTGTCACGCGCGGAGACTTGAAGCGATTATCCCGGAAATGAAAAGAGTTATACAGATGATATTTATGAGACCGTAAGACTCGGCGATCCTCCCAGTATCTAAGCATAAAATTTCCCGCGATAATGTCTTTTATACACCCTTCTCTCGCATCACGTTGTAACACTGTCGGGAGTGATCAACTGCCGCAATAAACCGAGAAGTCATTCGCAGGTTATTGCGTTAAGAATAAGAGTTTCTGAAGGAAGGGAAAAAAAGAAAGTTTAAATTCCATGTAAAAAGTTCCCGTCGCGGGTTATTACGACACGTCGAAGCAATCTCGATTCGTGAATATTTAAGAGAGCCCTCTAATGCAAAGGGTGAAGAAAAAATCAATTTCCATTTTATTTTTATTTTCTATCATACTGAAGATTGAGAAATATGTCGATTCGATTTTATGTAATTATATGAAATATCTAAGAGACAATGGAGTTACCTGATATCTTTGAAATACGAATTGTAAATTGATATGGTGAAAAAAGTTATTATCAATACCGTATTATTATTAATTGAAGAAAAAGGAAATAACACTTACAGAATTCATTTGAGAGAAACTTTCATAGGAAACAATTCGCAATCAATATTTTCTCCGATAATATCTGATTTATCGTGTACACTTCGTTTCGAAATAAATCAGTGAATCCATGTTCATTCGAGGATAAAGGAAAACAGAGATTTTTATCGTTAAATTGGAGAAAGATACGTGAGGAGTACAGGAATTTTTCTATCACGCAAATCGACGAAGAAAACGCGATCGCCGGATCGGCTGTGCTTCCATCCGGGTCAGAAGTATCTGACGAATTAAAGTAGTCGGTGTCTTATTTTATTTTCGGACCCTTTCGGCCGTGCCTGTTCATTCTGATAAGATTGCACAGTCATCGCTGGCCACTTCGCCTTTTTCGGCAACAAAACTAATGAAATAGAAAATCCGTCAGGGCGAAATTACTTTTCCTTTAGGCGAATCTAATTTCCAAGCGGTGTATAATGCACTGCGGCTAATAGTCTGGCGGATTTTGATTTTAATTACTTATTACGGTTCGATGATTCGTCTATTTTTCTTGCTGCAACCGATTCCTTTGATATTTCGTTCTATGGTGTTGTGAATTTGGATTAGTTAAGAAGGCATTGTACTTAATGAAACATTTATAGCAAGTTTGATTATCATAGATAATAATTTAATCAATGGAGCATTTAATGTAAATTTTATTTTAATATTATTCAATATCATTTGTAATGTTTCGAATGGAAAAGGGTTTAACTTAATTCAACTCCTATGTTCTCTAAAATAGACTATATATTGAAAGAAAATGAGGAAATTTCAGATATTAAATAATATGGATACACAAAATTTACAAAAATATTAATGTTGAATTACAAACTGAAATTCACTGAATTTTATTTTTATATTTTTTAGTTTTCTCAATACTTTCCGACAAGCCCACGATGATTCAGCGTTAATAATAATATCAGCCCTAAATTCATCACAAGATATAAATAAATGAAATGTTATAACGTTCTAGTTCACGGTTGACCGAATAAAACTGTCAGTGGTAGAGAAACACGTTTTTGTATAAATATTTCCGAAGTCCATGAACGCAATACATACCTGAAAGTCTTGCGGAGACGGTGATGATTCCTTCTGATGCTGGTTTGGACTGTGCGGCGGGCTAGGCGCGGATCGTGGACTCTGAGGTCGAGTTCCTAGCTCGTAAATGTTGATCATGTGAGCTGCTTGAGCGTGAACCATCAGTTCCCATGCTGAGGGGAAGGATACCTTGCACAGAACGCAGAGCAGAGCTGTCGTGGAATCCCCTTCGGACATAAAACTCTCAGTTTAGAACAATTCCTCCATTGCGAACCTAATAATTATTAGAGGAGCCATACATTCAAATATTATAATTTCAGCTTTCCGCGTTACTTTCACCCTTGGCCTGGCCAAAAAGATTCCTCGCGTTCCCAGAGGACGTTCGAAGACAAATTTCACTTCGCTGAATTCAACTGTCAGCGTTTTCTCGTTTTATTCAAGTTCGTGAAGAAACTTTCTTTTAGTTATAAAGAATCGTCATTTTATTAATTTGATTCGCTGTGTCAACGAATTGGACGTTTTTATAATACAGATAATAATCGTGGAGTAATTTCAATATGGAAGATATATAGAACATTTCAATGAATAATAATAACGCTTTTCTTAATGAAATAAATTTATAAAGAATTTAGAAAGAGGCATGGCATAAAGATATTAAAATCAAATATTAGATTATCAAGTAATTCGGGAATTTTTAAATAATGCAATTTATTATTCAAAAATGATTAGAGCTTTTAAAGAAAATATCACTTTATATAGAATTTGATTGTCACAATTGTCACGAAAAGAATGTCTACAATTGAATTGTTACAATTAAAGTTCAACATGTTCGAGAGTCAAGTCTATTCGCATATTTCCAGCGGCAAGGATAAATTAAAATTTCATCGAGATTCTTCGGTTTTAACTCGACAATCAGGTCATAGTGATAACAAACAGCCGCAAGCGACACTCCGGGGTCTCAAGCGAACTCCGCGTTTCCGTAACGGTTTCCCTAACTCGCCTAAATTCGATTCCTCCGACCTAAACAAACCGGTGAGTGGCCCGTCGGGGCAACGCAGCTGCGTTTCGCGGATAAAACGTGAGAATGCAATTTCGCCCACGAAAGGAAAGAAAGGAAATCGTAACGAGGACACGCGGGGTCCGATTCGAATTTCATTTTTACACCTGACCAATTCAAGATGGCGGCGATAGCGCCCGAGGAGAGGTAACGTTAAGCCGAGGCGGTATTTTGAAATCTCCGTGCGATCGAATTGCAAATAGAATATAATGTTTTGTTGAAAATCTCGGAGAAATTTTTTGAAAATCTATGAAATGAACCGCTTTTTTATTTATTTATGTCAGCGTTATGTTTTTCTTTCCTAAGTTCTATTGTGCTCAAAATGTGAAATACAACATCAAAATGAAAATCATGTCACTCGATAAGAGTTGATAAGCTTGATTTTTCGGTTAAAATAGGTATTGAGTGATTAAGGAATCACGTTTGTTATCAGAGTAATATATTCATTATTATAATCTTGTATTTTATGTAATAGAAGATAAATTAAAAATAAACAAAATACATATAAAAAACTACAATCATCGGAAGTCATAACGTATAAGATGATTTTCAAAATGTCGACAATCCTTTGTAAAATTTTTGAAGTATTTCACAATTTCGTATGGTAGTTTTAATAAAATATTATCACCATGAAAAGTGCTACTAAAAATAAACGTTGATAACGAACGTGTCGCCTTGATTTCTAATTTATTGATTATTAATCTATTAGAAATAGCATAGAATTCTATGCTCATACTACGTCTACATTTAGTTCGAAGATTAAGGGTTTGTAACAGCAAAGCAACATTTAGTTTAAACTCAAAGGAAAACAATGGTATTTACATTAACTAATATCCGCTTGAAATCTTTGCCACGAGTCTGATATCATAAGACAATATTAGTAAATGGTTTTTTTACATATATATAACTTTTTACCGTAAAACAGATACTTCGACCAACGCCATAGTACAAGCACAAAGCCCGTAAGCGTATCAAAATTACCATATAATTGCGAAGCGAAAAACCAGACCTGAGTTTATACTTAGCTAAAATATTATTGTTAGGTTGTTGTTAATAGTTTTATTTGCGCCTGCATGTAAATAACGGTAGTATTTACGCAAACGAAAACTTTTAAAAGGAGAACAAAAATATTGTAAGGCAAGAGGTTAAAGGTACCGTCGGTTGTCATTAAAGAAAATCGCCTCGATCCTAAAGCAGGACTTTCGTTGAAGTTTTCTTTGCGAGTAGGTACGTACTTGGGGCAGTCCCATTGAAGGTGTGACATTTACATGTGAACCGCAGCTTGCAGTAATTTCGCTTGTGTTCGAGCAGCTCCCCCAGGTCAGTAAACATTTCCCTGCAGTTGCCGCAGATCAGTATATCCGGATTGCCTGGAACATAGAAATTGCAGGAACAATGTTTATTTCGCTTCCATTTGACCCCGCCGCCCGCAACGGTGGACTGTTATTCGAAACGGGGCGGGCGGCACCCTTTTCGGAGCGTTTCGAAACGCATTTCCGAAATATAAGATAGACGTTTACGGAAATTCACGTTTCAGAGGAGAAATATGTTAATGCTGGAAACAAGAAGAACTCTGTTTCCTTCGTGAATGGTGTCGCTGAATGAATCTCTGTTAATTTGAGAAATTGAAGCAATTCGTGTAAACTCGTTTAATGAAATAGAAGCTGGAAGGTCACGATTTTTTAAGTATTATGGCTAGTACGAAAAATATGTTACTATAATGAATTTTTTCATTTTTGACAGAATTATTTTCAATTCTTTGGTATTGTGTAGGTATTAATATCTTGACAAAACTGATTCGAGATCGGTGTGTAATGATACAGAATCGTTCATTTTAAAATGATAACAAAATTAAAATTCTATTCTAACAATTTTATATTAAATGCATTTAACATTACTACCGAATGCAACTCTCTCTCTTCTACTACATTTAATTATTATACTATCACTATAATATTCATTATATATTTATTATCATTTCCTCTACACTATGTCTTCCATAACCACGAAATACACGAACATTCAAAAAAACGCCTGCTTTAAAGAATTGATTTACTCACACGCCTTCTAACATAAATAAATCAAAAGCATAATAATTCCGTTTTCGTAACTCACTCAAAAAAAGAAAAAGTATAAACCAGACAATGTAATTGTTCGGCAGTTCTACTGTTAAATCGTCGATTTTTCCTCGCGAAAAGCCCGAAGTGTGCTGCGCCCAACGGAACCGCGATACTCACTGTACACTTTCAGCTGGTTCAGATCCGGAACACTCGCTGTGTTTGCAGCCGGTTGTTGTTTCTGTTGCTTCGGATGCTGCGACCGAGTCGGCGGCATCAAACGGGGTCTCTTCAGCGGCGGGGCCAAACGGGGTGGAAAAGCAGTCGAAGCGTAGTAACTGAAAATAAACCGGCGGCTCAGCCCGGAAATTCTGCG